GCGATCAACAATACAAATGAATAAATTTCAAAACGTGCGAATCGTCGGCGAAACATGGAATCATTATACCGTGGATTATCAGCAAAATAATCATTGAACAGATTACGATCAGTAGTTTTCCAATTGCAATTGATGACTCTATGTCCAAGAATTTATCCTCTACGGATCACTTGGTTGTTTTGTTGATTGAGATAGTAAAGGAAGAGAAGGATGTTGTTAGCTCTCATGCGAAGGATTGCTTCTTGCTCTGCATCAACCGCTTCAAGATCATTCATTAATTTCATTGTCGGAAAATGATGACAAATTAGAAGATGATAAATGAGATGGACCTCCAAAATTGAAATTCATCTTTGTAGATATATTAATTGAATGATTTAGAAGTTGATTTGGTGTGAGCTTCTATAGCAGAAGAAAATACTATTCTAGATATAAAATAATCATTCAAAAAGATGTATTGTCTATTCACGCTTTTGAGATTTGTGGCTTATTTCAAAAGATGTATTGTCCATTTAAACTTTTGAGATTTGTGGCTTATTCAAAAAGATGTATTGTCCATTCAAGGTTTTGAGAATTGTGGTTTGTTTCAAAAGATGTATTGTCTATTCAAGTTTTTGAGATTTGTAGCTTATTCAAAAAGATGTATTGTCCATTCAAGCTTTTGAGATTTATATCTTATTCAAAAAGATGTATTGTCCATTCAAGCTTTTTAGATTTGTAGCTTATTTCAAAAGATGTATGGTCTATTCAAGCTTTTGAGATTTGTGGCTTATTCAAAAAGATGTATTGTCCATTCAAGCTTTTAAGATTTGTGGCTTATTTCAAAAGATGTATTGTCCATTCAGGCTCTTAAGATTTGTAGCTTATTTCAAAAGATGTATTATTCATTCAAGCTCAAAAAGATGTGTTGGCCATTCAAGCTTTTAATTCAAACTTATGCCATAAAAGAGCATACAACACCTTAGTTTTGAACACATCTCTTCTATTTCCTCTTAAAAAAAAAAAAAAAAAAAGCATATATTTTCTTCATTTGTGTTATAAAATGACTACACAACGAAGTTCTTCATACACAAATGAAGAAGATATGCATCTATCTTGATGTTTCTCAAAACCCGATTTTAGGTATAAATCAATGTAGAGATCAATTCTGGTCTCGAGTTGAGCTTGATTACAACAATTCCAAACTCGTGTATCTCACTCAGGTTCGAAACAAAAGATCTTTGCATTGTAGAATGCAACTAATCTTTAAAGCTATTGGCAAATTGAGAGGATGTGTATGTCAAATTGAAAATATAAATCCAAGTGGTGCCTCTGAGCAAGATATTGTGAGTATTTGTTACATTTAATTTATTATCTTTTTTTTTTATATAATTGATTTTAACGTTATATGTATATTGTTTTGTAAATGATTCAGCCAAAATATTACTAGCACAAGATAAAAGTTACAAGAAAGGTTTCAAATTTGATCATGTGTGGCCTATACTTAAGAATATTGAAAAATTTACAGATAATGTTAACGTTGCATAAGCATTTCAAAGGCAAACTGATAGGTTTGTATCACAAGAATCAAAAACTCCCACTTCAAAGTCTCCCTAGTCGGTGTCTTGTGATATGTTGTCATATTCTCTAAACATAAATGATGAAGATATCGGGGGCAGTTAAGCTCAACGACCCATTGGGATGAAGAAAGCAAAATTAAAAAGGAAAAATGATGAAAAAATTTCAAACCAAATTGAAGCTATTTAAGAAGAAAATCGACAACTCGCTGCTATTTTCAATCGAGGCAACTCAACTAGGGCACAAAATTATGAAATCCAAATAGAAAAATTGGCTTTGGCAGAATATCAAGAAGATAACAAAATTTTATTAAGGATTTGAATTCCATAACCGATCCAAGCTTGCGTGAGTTTTTTCAAAATGAGTAATCAAGAATTATGCAAAAAAAAAAAAAAAAAAAAAAAGCTCAACAACAAAGTCAAGGATCTCAAAATAACTCTAGTTATTTCCAATATTTTGATGATCTTAGAGGATTTGGAACTAATCTACCAAAAAACTAAATTGTTATTTTAGTTTATGTCGTATTTTTTTTAATATTAGTGTTTTTAAATTAGTGTTAAATTTTATTTTGAGTTATTGTTGTTTAATATTTGCATTGAATAAATTTTGTTAATTTTTCATCATTTTTTGAATTATATAATTATTATTATAAATATTAATATAAATAATAATCAAATTAACATAAATACAAATAATAAAAATTAAATAACAAAAATAAAAAAATATATTTTATAATATTTGAACAGTGTCACGTCAAATTGGTGTATATGAATAGTGTTACATCAAATTTGACATGACATTGTATACTTACATCAATTTAGTGTAATATTTGGCGTTGAATTAGAGATACCCTATAAAGTATTATACCAAATTTGATGTAATACTGTATAGGTACACTAGTTTGCTGTGATGTTTGGTATTGAGTTGGAGATGCCCTAAGATGATGACTTCAGCATAACGTCGATGATAGGCCGCCTAAGATGATAACATCATTGAGAGGTCACCGCTGATCATGGGTGTTTTCGACTTTTAACTATGGTTATAATCATCATAACTAGCGGTGACCCCTCACGCTTTAATCAGACGGCTCTAACTAACGACCCATCCTCTGTAATCAGGTGACCTCTCACGCTCTCTCCCTAAAAATAACCCATAATTAGCCCTTACTCCCTCACACTAAACTAAACTAAATCCCAGCTTAAACCTGCTTCATTTCTTCGATATCATCCATGGGTAATCTCTTTGCCGGAGGCGAGAAGATTAAGATCGGAATCAACGGTTAGTTTTTCTTCTTCTTCTTTTTACGGCACCAACTCTCGTTCACCCTTCGCAACTGAACTAAACTAAAATCTGAGCTTTGAACGTCGCTTCATTTCTTCCATATCATCGATGGGTAATCTCTTGTGAAATTTAATTTCTTCTTCTTTTTTTTTGTTTTTCTATTAATTCAATCACTCGGATTTGATTAAATTCCTGAAATATATCGGATCCAGATGTACTATCCTTCCGTTTTCATTTATGTGTTCCCTGCAGAGCCAAATTTTGTAATAAAAAAATTTCTCCTTGTAATAAACGTTTCATATTTAGCCAATATTTCTCCTTTCCTACGAGAATTGACTTTTGAGTTTCATATCATTATATGCCTAAAGCAAGCATAAGTGAATCGATTATAACAATTTTACTTAAAAACATGTGAAAGACATTAACTTGTGAGCTTATGAGAAACTTCACTTATGAATTCAGTTTAAGTACTCTTTTTCAATCTCTCTAGGTGACACTCAGCAGGATCGGCAACAAAACCTTTGCGAGCAGCAAGTAAGTGTTCGTATTTGGATTCCATTTATATGAACGGGCATCTCCTGATTATTTCTTTGGTTTTGTTTAAACTTCACTTATGAACTCAGTTTAAATACTCTTTTTTAATCTCTCTAGGTGACACACAGCACGATCGGCAACGAGAACAGTTTCCAACAGCAAGTAAGTGTTCATATTTGCATTCCATATATATATGAACGGGCATCTCCTGATTATTATTATTATTATTATTATTTATTCATTTATTTATTTATTTATTTTTTTAATGGATCTTCTGCTGGAATTACACAACATCCTTCACCCACTAACAGTTTTACATAAAAATCATTTGAAAGTTTTAAGTCCCAGCACGGACTTGTGAGCTTATGAGAAACTTCACTTATGAACTCAGTTTAAATACTCTTTTAATCTCTCTAGTTGACACTCAGCAGCATCGTCGGCACCAATAACAGATTTTGCAAGCAGCAAGTAAGTGTTCATATTTGGATTCCATATATATGAACGGGTATCTCCTGATTATTTCTTTTGTTTAAACTTCACTTGTGAACTCAGTTTAAACACTCTTTTTTAATCTCTGTAGGTGACACTCAGCACGATCGGCAACGAGAACAGTTTCCAGCAGCAAGTAAGTGTTCATATTTGGATTCTATATATATATGAACGGGCACCTCCTGATTTTTTTTTTCTTTTCTCTTGATGGATCTTCTGCTGGAATTACACAGCATCCACCACCCACTAACAATTTTACATAAAAACATTTGAAAGTTTTAAGTCCTAGACACGAACTTGTGAGCTTAAGAGAATCTTCACTTATGAACTCAGTTTAAATACTCTTTTTTAATCTCTCTAGGTGACTCAGCTGGATGAGCAACAAAAACAGATTTTGCAGGCAGCAAGTAAGTGTTCATATTTGGATTCCATATATATGAACAGGCATCTTCTGATTATTTCTTTTGTTTTGTTTAAACTTCACTTATGTACTCAGTTTAAATACTCTTTTTTAATCTCTCTAGGTGACACTCAGCAAGATCAGCAACAAGAACAGATTCCTGCAGCAGGTAAGTGTTCATATTTGGATTCCATATATGTGAACGGGCATCTCCTGATTATTATTATTATTATTATTATTTTTTCTCTTAATGGATCTTCTGTTGGAATTGCACAGCATCCACCACCCACTAACAATTTTACATAAAAACATTTGAAAGTTTTAAGTCCCAGAAATGAACTTGTGAGCTTATGAGAAACTTCACCTATGAACTCAGTTTAAATACTCTTTTTTAATCTCTCTAGGTGACAATCAGCAACAAGAACAGATTCCTGCTGCAAGAAAGTGTTCATATTTGGATTCCATATATATGAACGGGCATCTCCTGATTATTTGTTTTGTTTTGTTTAAACTTCACTTATGTACTCAGTTTAAGTACTCCTTTTTAATCTCTCTAGGTGACACTCAGCAAGATCGGCAACAAGAACAGGTTCCTGCAGCAGGTAAGTGTTCATATTTGGATTCCATATATGTGAACGGGCATCTCCTGATTATTATTATTATTATTTTTTCTCTTGATGGATCTTCTGTTGGAATCACACAGCATCCACACCCACTAACAGCTTTACATAAAAACACTTGAAAGTTTTAAGTCCCAGACACGAACTTGTGAGCTTATGAGAAACTTCACTCATGAACTCAGTTTAAATACTCTTTTTTAATCTTTCTAGGTGACAATCTGCAGGATCAGCAACAAGAATAGATTCCTGCAGCAAGTAAGTGTTCATATTTGGATTCCATATATGAACGGGCATCCCCTGATTATCATTATTATTATTATTTTGTCTCTCTAGATAGATCTTCTGCTAGAATTACACAGCATCCACCACCCTCTGACTGTGCAATGCCGAAAACATTTACTTATGACGAACTAAAGGAGGCTACAAATAATTTCTCAGAAGACAAATTACTTGGTGGAGGTGCTTTTGGCATTGTCTATAAAGGAGTCCTTCGAGATGGGAGAATTGTTGCTGTAAAACAGCAACGAGCTGAACGGAAACTGGAGGAGCAAGAATTTCAGAAAGAGATAGAGATCATTAGCGGTATCCACCATGAACATCTTGTACATCTTGTTGGATTCTGCATTTGGGAGGCTGAGAGACTGCTTGTATACGAGTTTGTTTCGAACAAAAGCCTGCACTTCCATTTACATGGTATGTCCTTTCTGTGATTAGATGTCACTTATGGTTAAAAAATTGATATTAGAGAAATTGGTGATTAATATTTCTGAATTCATTCGCTTCTGATTAATAATCGTATATATTATATGGGAATGACTGGATTTATTTATGTGGATTTAGAAAGTGTCACAGCATTTTGTGCTTTTTAAACTATGATACTGTTGTCTCATCAGATTATGGCAACATTTCAGAGAACGATAAAGAAATTTTAGACTGGAAAAAAAGATTCAATATTGCGGTAGGCACAGCAAAAGGATTGGTTCATCTGCATGATGTCTGTGAGTGTTCTTTTGATAGTACTGTTTTCTTAAATTTAAGCAAATTTTGAGAAGATATTGTTTTGAAATTTCAAATGGTATGATGTAAATGTATATATCCTCAGCAGCTGGTAAGCCCAGGATTGTGCATCGTGATATCAAGTCAGCTAACATTCTTTTGGATGAAAAATGGGAAGCCAAGGTATGATTTGTAATGGATTCACATTATTATTGTATATACTTTCAAATACATCATACGTGAAATGAAACCATCTTCTGGATACTTGATCTATATCTGCATAATGCTTGAATATGTTTGTATCGCCTTCTGATAAAGTAATGGTTATTTCAGACTGCAGATAAAGATTGAAATTATTTTCATTTCAGTGCTCAACATCTGTGCGCTTTTTATGTTGGCTTCTATGTATGATGAATGAATTGACTTGCATGTTTTTCCTCAGGTGGCAGATTTTGGACTTGCTAGGTCCATTTTAGCTGGCAAAACTCATATCAGCACTGAAGTTAAGGGCACTTTTGGGTAAAATACACTGCTTTATGTGCATACTTGCAAAACTGTTTTCTCTTGTTCATAACTTATATATATTATATTGTCTTAACCAATCCTCTGTAACTTCTCATGATGGATTTTCTTCGAATGCAGTTACATGGATCCAGATTTTTTTACCTCCGGGATTAGGTTAAATGAGAAGTCAGATGTCTACTCCTTTGGAATGCTGCTTTTGGAGTTGATTACTGGATGCCTACCTCTGAATAAAATTCAGCCCCCTGATTCTGATAATGAAAAGTTGGCTGTCAAGGTGGATATTCTGTCTCATCAGCTCCATTCTGTTAGGAATCGTGTGATAGAAGTTACCCCACTTGCAGTTTTGTGTGCAAATAATTTGATTGATATTATTTTAGTTTCTGCATTGGTAATTAAGGGTGCAAGAATGGAGTCAATTTTGCATTGTTTGCAGAGTGAATATAACACGGACTTTTATGAACTTTTAGGCAAAACCGATGCTCAGAAAAGCTGTGAAAGACAGCAACATAAACGTTGTTTATACCGATCCAAAGTTAGGGAAATTCGACAAGAGCGCAATGTTTCTGGTGGTTCATTGTACTGCTGCCTGTGTATGTTATCCAGCAGGGGATCGGCCGCAGATGAGGGAGGTACTTAAACCAAGTGCTAAATAGTTACTTTTAGCTCTCCATTACGTTCTATGAATTGAACACTGGCTTATAACTCTTTTGGTTGCATTATACTCCAAGCAGATACTTGAAGCTCTGGAAGGAAAACTGGATGTGAGGGTTCTGACAGAAAGAATAAAAACAATGTTCACTGCGGAAGATATCTCATGGAACAGGAAGACACTCTTGGAGATGTTAGAAGCTATCAAAGAGGAGGATCCAGCTACCTCGATCGGTTAATGAAGGCCAGAAAAGATACTATTTTCTAAATGAACGTTTCCATATTGTGTAGCTATATATAAATGTAGAAGAGTTGTTAATCTTGAGATAAATTAAACGTTGTCATGATTTTGTGAAAAATTCATGCCATCTAGGATATGCTACTTCTTTACAGTTTTCAGTTTGCAGTGGATTTAAAAATGCAATGATTTATCTATCTTAATGTGTGAGCATTGAATCTCTTGTAATTAATCACAATATCTCAACACAAATATGCCCAAGGGGTGAAAAATAAGTCTATTCTGCTCGTTATTATATGAACGACTAAATAACCATAAGTTTCATAGGATTTCTCGTGCTGTTGCTAAAAAGTAATGGACTTTTGCAATGTTAATGAGATTTTTGTTATTTTATCATACCTCAGGGGTATTATTGTCTTTAAGGTTATTAATTCGATAAATTAATATTCCTTACAAGTTCTTTGTTTTTGTTTTTGTTTTTGTATAGGATTAGGTAGATCACATCAACTAGTTAATGAATTCTTCAATAATAAATGTTAAATGCTTGAATATCTTTTAATTAAAAAAGAAAACTGAGGAATTTCCTATTTTATTTAACTAAGTCTAATAAAAGTAAATGTTATTATTATTTCTTCTGGATTCTTTTAAAGAGTAACCCAAGATTTGCCTGAATAACACTTTTCTATCCAAAAAGTTTTAAAATACCACTTTTCTACCCAAAGTTAATATTTCATTACTACCTAAAGCTTATTCTAGCAATGAAAATTCTCTCTATTATCACTATTTAAACTTTGGTCAAAACCTCTCTCACTTTAGCACCCGATTTCTTTGCTAATTACCGGCTACCACAAAGCTAGAGTTTCTTATTCTTAGCTGATTTCTGACTGATTTCAGTGGAAATATCCAATCGATCACTATCATTCGATCCACCGCCCTCCACTCTGCAAAACATTATTATCCTGCCTCCTGGTAAGTCACCGAACACCGACTAAGAAAGTGAAGTATATTTTAGGTATTAACAAAATATAAACTTTAGGTGAGTAAGTGGTACATTGAAATTTTTAGGTAGGAAAGTGTTATTAGGGCAAACCTTGGGTGAGAAAAAGTCGTTTACTCTTCTTTTTAATTACCAATCTATAATTTCTTACAGCTAAAAGTAATAAATTAAGCTGAGTGATGTCTGATCAATATACAGTGCATACAATTTATTTTGTTTGGTTGCACTGCATGCGTAGACTTAGACAAATTGGCTTGGAGTCTCTATGGCCTAGTTGCCTCATGCCTGTCTCTCGTCGTCCCCTCTCATCACTCAATGAGACATTGTTACGTTCTCCATTTCTGAAAACAGTAGCTTACCCAGAATTTTAACCCTGCTGTTAATAGTAAAGGGTATGACTTCACATCAATAATTCAAGTAAATATATTATTTAACACATCATATTATCTTAGTATATTTCTATATTCTAAATTTAACTTGCAAAATAGTGTTATTAGTTCGACTAATTACCAAAACCTCTCTTCAATAAGCAAAAAAAATTCAAAAACCTAATTTGTTTTCTCTATCTGAACTTAATATATACAATTAATAAAGGACACAATAGATCTTATGAATTATTGCAAAAACTATACCTGACTTAATTGAAGAATCAATCTTTGTATACCAATATTTCAATTACTAAACTGGATTTAAGTGTGGATAATTGTACTGAAAATTTAATTAGTTTTATTGTAGTGCGATTGCATGCATGCATAGACTTGACAAAAGTTGAATTGGACTCTTCTGGCTAGCTTTCAAGTTTCAGCAATTTAATTTTCTGCAGGCTTTCAATTAATTAATATTCAGCTACCACATCACTCTCACCCACCTGGGAAAAAACCCTAAAAACTTGCGATCCATGCATGAATTAAGCAAGAGGTAATATATAATATAATTAACCTCTGCTCTTTGTGATTGAATACAATTTCTGTTTCAAAGTGTCTGACAAAATGTTCCTTTAATTTCTTGTAATATCATCAAAGCTTCTTCCAAAACTCTCTGGTAAGTCACTCTTAATTTCTCGATATGTTGTATGAAGATCCTCTGCCATTTGAATATCCCTTCACTAAATGATACAATGCCAGCTGACGATGTTCCTCCTCCGCCAGATGATACAACACACTATAAGAAAAAAGACCTTCCTTGACAGAAAATTTGACATAATTTCTTGACTGTTCTAAAAAACTATCAAGAAATTTAATCCTTGACAAATTCTTGATAGTTTATGAACTATAAAAAATTTGAAATAACTCTTGACCGTTTTACAAAATCCTTCACAGTTAAAAAACTTTCAAGGATTGAGATTGTTAATGAAGTATTATGTAATATTTTAAAAATTAAATATGTCCCCAAAGAACCAAAATTCTTGCAAACAAACCCAAACACCTTCTTCTTCCTCCTCCCGCCACATTAACGGATCCCTCCCCTGGCTGTAAGCTTTGTCTACATCTTCTTCTTCTTCTTCTGCGTCTTTTTCTTCCTCTATCCTATACATCTTCTTCTTCCCGCCATTGACACTATCTTCTTCCTCTACCATTAACATCTTCTCCGCCACAAATCCTCCTCCTCCTCCTCTTGACATTTCGTCCAGGTATGTGTATCTCCCATTTCCATTTTATATTTCAATTTACAAAGATTTAATAATGGATTGGGTTTGGGTTATGATTTTGATTTAGTTGTTTAGGTTATTGCATTATGTTTGATCTCATGGAAGTTGAAAGGAGTGAAATTTGTCGAATATTTTCTTGCATTGTGGGTAGCTAGGGGTGGCGATATTGATTGTAGGTGGAGATGACTGAAAATGTGTTCTAGATATGATGGATCGCTTAAGCGATTTGGAACATCTGGTAATGCAGCAGGTAGATCGCTTAAGCGATCAGGTATATGGCATTTGACCGCTTAAGCGATCTGCTAAAAGTTTGGTGTATAGCAGTAGATCACTTAAGCAATCAGGCTTATTTATATTGGATCGCCATTGTATCGCTTAAGCGATCCAATATATATACCAGATCGCTTAAGCGATACATCAGATCGGTCAAACGACTGTGCAGATGTTTTTTAAAATATTTCAACCCTTAGTACATCAGTTAATAATATTTTTTTTCTTGCATTATAGGTACTTGGCTATTAGTAGAAATGGGACAAGTTGTTTTGGGTGTTGAATATTTTGGTGAGTGGGTGGAGGAAGAAAATTGCTGGAAGTGGATTGGAAAGAGCAAAGAAGTTATACCAATTCCTGTAAGCACATAGGTTAGTTTTGATGAGTTGATTGATGAAATAATTAGAAGAGGTGATTTGAGTTGCTCACGTAGCAATATAGTTGTGAAGTATGTTTTAAGCAGAGTCCCTGAACATTATAAGGTACCTCCTACTATATTAAAGTCGGATGAAAATGTGAAGTTATATATGATTGATGTGGCCGATAATGGTTCGAGGCCGATTTTAAGGGTTTCTTTTATAGATAAAACGTTGGAAGTTGGTTCAAAGGAAGGGGATAACGAGGAAGTTGGCGGAGATTTGCCTAGTTTTAATTTGAACTACGAGGACATTGATTTGTTAGTTGAAAAATCAAGAGTAGGCGGTGAATTGGGTGGTGAGGAGGACATTGTAAAAGAGGTTGGTCATGTGTGGAAAAATGAAAATGTTGAGGAGGAGGACCCCGTACATGTTCCCACAGATGTGGAGATTCCTTTAAATACAAATTATGTAGAAGGTATAGTTTGTGAGGAAGAGAACACTATGGTTGTTTATGCAGGTTCAAAGGGGGCAATTGCAGATAGTAGTGAATTGGCTCATGTTTTTATGGATGGATTGGAGTTGCGTATAGGGTATTTATTTGACAACAAAGAGGAAGTGGTGAGGAAGCTAAAACTAGTTGCCGTGAGAGGTAATTTTGAGTTCATCACCAAAAAGTCAAATTCCTTGGTTGTGACGGTTGCATGTCGTGACCAAAAGTGCAAGTGGCAGATTTATTGTAGAAGGTTGGCGGAGTCCGAAAAAATTATTTTTAGCACATATACCCATGAGCACACATGTGGTTTGGGACATATTTCAGGTAAACATCGACAAGCCTCCGCTGATTTTATTGGACAATTTGTCAAAAGTTAGTTCCTTGAAGGGAAAAGTCCATCTCCTAAAGACATTTAGAGACTTGTGCGCACAGAGTTAGGATATGCTGTTAGTTACTGGAAATGTTGGAAAGGGAGATAACATGCACAAGATTTTGTGAGGGGCACGCCGGAGCACAGGTACGCAGTATTAGATGTGAACCGTTATATGCTTGAGCTGACAAACCAAGGTAGCAAGGCGGCTTTGAAGTGGGACAGGAATATGATGTTTAATTTTTTTTTTTTTTTTTTTTTTTTTTTTTGCTTACAGTTCTGCTATAAGGGGCTTTGTAAACATGAGAAAGGTGTTGGCTATTGATGGTTGCTTTTTGACGGGAAACTATGGAGGTACATTGTTGGTGGCCACAGCACAGGACAGGCAGAATCACACATATCCTATTGCATTGTGTGTGGTTGACTTTGAGAATGACAAGTCGTGGACTTGGTTTTTTCAACAATTACGTACGATAGTGCCTGATAGTGACGAGTTGTGCATAATATATCTTATAGGCACAACTCTATAAAGAAGGGGATTGCCACTATTTACCCTCAAGCACATCATGGATTCTATATGAGGCACCTTGGTGAGAACATAAAACAAAAGTTCAAGTGTGCTGGCCTCCTTCAGACATACTACATGGCAGCAAAAGCTTATCGGGTTGATGAGTTTGATGAGCACTTCTAGCAAATCCGAATCAAGGATGATAGAGTTGCTAGGTATCTTGAGCATGATGTTGGTTTCGAGTGATAGAGTAGAGCTTACTTTCTTGGAAGAAGGTTTGATGTCATGACTACGAACATAGTCGAGTTCATAAATTCAAAGTTGTTAATAGAAAGAGAGTCTCCAATAGTCGTACTTTTTGATGCAATCCAAAGGACATTGTCATGGTGGTTCATGAGCGTCATACGAAGTCAGATAATTTTACTACAACCCTTGTTCCGTCAACTGAAAAATGATTGCGTGAATATACGAAACTGTCAAATGCACTATTTGCCTATCCTCTTAATGCTCAAGAGTTCATTGTGTGCGGCTATGGTCTGGATGGCCTAGTTAACCTTGTTAGTAAAACTTGCAGCTGTAAAGTGCTTGACATTCAACGTTTACCTTGTTCTTATGCACTAGCAACACTGAAAT